GKYYTYCCKGKKKTKRRGKYYTKGGRWYYTYCCKGKKKTKRRGKYYTKGGRKYYTYCYKGKKKTGAGGTCTYGGGGTYTTCCYGGTGTTGAGGTCTWGGATCTTCCTGGTGTTGAGGTCTCGGGGTCTTCTTCGTGTGAGGTCTTGGGGTCTTCCCGGTGTTGAGGTCTGGGGTCTTCCCGGTATTGAGGTCTCAGGGTCTTCTTGGTGTGAGGTCTCGAGGTCTTCCCAGGGTTGAAGTCTCAGGATCTTCCCGGTGTTGAGGTCTTGGGGTCTTCCTGGTGTGAGGTCTTGGGGTCTTCCTGGTGTGAGGTCTTGGGATCTTCCCGGTGTTGAGGTCTGGGGGTCTTCCTGGTGTTGAGGTCTTGGGGTCTTCTTGGTGTGAGGTCTCGGGGTTTTCCCGGTGTTGAGGTCTAGGATCTTCCTGGTGTTGAGGTCTCAGGGTCTTCTTGGTGTGAGGTCTTGGGGTCTTCCCGGTGTTCAGGTCTGGGATCTTCCCGGTGTTGAGGTCTTGGGGTCTTCTTGGTGTGAGATCTCGGGGTCTTCCTGGTGTTGAAGTCTTGGGGTCTTCCTGGTGTTGAGGTCTTGGGGTCTTCACAATGTGGAGGCCTTGGGGTCTTCCTGGTGTTGCAGTYTCGAGGTCTTCCCAGGGTTGAAGTCTCAGGATCTTCCCGGTGTTGAGGTCTGGGGTCTTCTTGGTGTTGAAGTCTTGGGGTCTTCCCGGTATTGAGGTCTCAGGGTCTTCCCGGTATTGAGGTCTCGGGGTCTTCCCAGCATGAAAATCTTGGGATTTTCCCATCACCGGAGACCCACCGAGGAGCCCCGGGTGCAAGCGCGTTTCCCAGCTCCAAATGGGAGCTCCCTGAGCTCTACGTGGGAAATGGTGAGACAAAGAGAAGCATAAAACGATACCCGAATTAAATCCAAATTAAAAGCCAGCAATCTGCTGTTCTCGGGGCGTTTGCAGCGTTGATTAAAGGGCGTCAAGCTATAAATGGGAGAGAAATAGGGAAAAAAGCTGCCGCTTTTGCCACGCGGAGCGCTCCCGATGCAAAGGCATCCGCACCAAGACCCAAGGAGCTTAGGACCAGGAAAGCCGGGAATTACGATCCCCCGCGCGGGATTTCCGCCGAGAACAACAGCGGCAAGTTTTAAGCAGCAGAACTCAGCGGCTTAGCCGCGTAAGCCCTTAAATGAGATCCAATTAAAGGGCTAATTGCGCACGCTGCATTAGGGGCGTCCGGGCTGCAGATGGGCACTTTACTGCGCCGTTTTATAGCCCGCCGCACTTCCAGATCCGTCTCCCGAAACACGGGGACTAAACGGCAGGCTCTCCAGCGGGAGCGAGGCGGGAAGGAAGCGAATAAATGAGGAAAACAGAGGGCATCGGCTCGGGCGTGCAGCATCGTGTCCGGATCCAGGACACCCAGGAGCGATTCCAAGGAAAAGAGATGACCTGATGACRGTGCCTTGTGCTTTAGGGATGGGAAATGCAGCTCGGGAACTCCGGGGTTTGCGGCTGTTAATATAGGAGAGAGCTACATAAGCTGGTTTTAATTATCCTTGGGGAAAGTTAAATCAGCTCCTAATAAAGCGGGATCATAGGGGCTTTCCTTGTCCTGTAAGCCCCAAATGGAACCAGCGCTGGCGACATTGTCAAACCCGCTGGGAAACTGGGAGGAATCYCCGTTTCCAGGACTCCCAAAGAGCTTCCGCAAGCGGAAAACCCAATTCCGGGCTGCTCCGGAGCGTCAGCGCTCGAAGAAACCTTGTCCTCCCGCTCCACTTCCATTTTTGCACCGCTTTCCATTAAAAATAGTAGGAAAAATGGCACTAAATGCGGCGTGAGCTCGACCTGCAGCCGGGCATCCTTCCCGAAGGCGCCAACAGCGCCAACTCGAGCCGTTTCCACCGGGCACAACCCCTCAGAAACGGCCCGTTTGGGCTCCTGGGGAGCCTCAGCTCTGCTAATCATTCCACAGCCTCCCTACGCGATGAAAAATTAATTACGGTTTCTAGCGGCTTGCGTGGGATTTTTTTTTTGGTTTTGATGTTTGCTGTTTCTTKAAAAGTGCTCTGGTAAGAAAAATAAATATATATATCTCCTTTAAAGTCCTTTCGGGGGGGGAAATGTGTTTAACGCGAGCCCTGCGGATGTCTCGTTGCAGGGAGCGGATCGGCGCCGGTGTCCCGCCGTTCGCCGGGGCGGCGTTGCCGGGAACGGGAGCAGCCCGAGAAATCCTTGCGGGCGGCTGGGGCTGCAGCCCCGATCCCTGCGGAGGAGCGGAGGTGAAGCGCAGCATACRGAATCAGCACGCCTTCAAGAAAAGCACCTTCCTGCCAGGTTTTTTGCAGTGGGAAGATGAAGTACCGAGGCTGAAACGTTTCTTTTCCCCGATGTTTTCCCCCAGAGAAAAGACCGGAGTTATTCCAGCGGGGCACAAAGCCCTACCGAGATCGCTGCCCCCGTTAACACCCCAGCAATGACTTCTGCAAGCCCCTAAAAGAGGATCGACGGGTGCGCGAGGGA